TGTTGCCCGAGTACATCAGTGGGCCGCACTGTGGTAATGCCGATGAAGAGTCTGCTTCCTGGTTCAGCGCGTAATGATTGTAGGTAGCACAGAAACTTTGGGGTCCATAGCTGGAACTGCAGGCCGGGTGGGCCCCATAGGCCAGGCCCAGAGAACTCACACTAGATTGGTATGACCCTGCTTGGTGAGGGATGCCGTCAGGGGAAGCCCTGCTTTCCATGAAACGGTCATCCGCCCCGTAGTTGTCGACTGTAAGGGCGCAGGATTGAAAAGTTGTAATCCCGTGGTCCGAGTGGAAAGCCCTGACAGAGCATGAGCCACCTTCACCGCTCATCACTGAGTAGTCTAAGAAGCTGCTCATTGTAGCATTGTTCTACCGGGACCGAGGGACCGTCCACTCTGCAGACACCCTCTGGTCACTTCCTCTCTCCCCTCGTACCCTGAGTGACCGTGTCAACCTTTACCTATTTTTTGTCCCTGACAGAGGAGGGAGGGGGCCGCACGGGTTGATATCAGTGAACGGGTGCTGTCACGTGGGCCAGGGTCAGCCAGTGAGATACTTGTCCTTAGCCCCTCAGCCGGTGACAGATTGGTGTTTGAGTGGCTATTTAAATTACAGGCGCTCGTCGATCAAGGTGACGCACGTCGCCACTAATGTATTGGCCGAGCAAACAATGAGCCGGGAGGCAGACGGAGGTGGAGAGCTCCCGGGTCGCATGAAAAGCGGGGAATGGCAAACACAGCGTCTTCTAACCCCGGCTGTGCGCACACCGGCTGGGGGAAAGATTAACGTTTCGCCCTCTGCAACCTCTCCGTGAGGACGACCTAGCACTCTGACCTCAGGTACGGGTATTTTTGGAACAGAGAGGAGAATAGGAGTTTGTGTGGGTGCCTACATGTACACGTAGTGGTGCGTGTGTCATCCATGCGTGTCTTTATTGTGCCAGTTCTCTGCTGAATGGATAGCTCAGAGTGACAGTGCCACGGGCTATGTGCGGGCTGTCACTGCCCCAGTCCGTTGCAGTTTCACGCTTTACCACTGTGAGGGATTTGCTCAGTAAATAGTCACAGTTTGGCAGAGAGGGAGAGGCAGAACGGTTTCACTCCTGACACAGACAAAAAGTACTTCATTTCAGTTAAAGAGAGCTCTTTTATAAACCCCGAGGTCGCATTAGGAATGTCTGGCAGCTTTTCAGCTCCTGCTGGGAGGTCACAGGTGATGTAACGACAATCCAACATATTAAACATTAGGATGATGTAGTATTATTATTATTATTTTCTTTCCCAGGGTTATGGGGTCTGATTTCACTCCCACATGTATTCATTATGCATGTATAGTGATCAAATGATTTGATAATGTGGGGCCCGTCGTGGACCTATAACGCACCCATAGCCTGAGGTTCGAGTGTGGGCTGATTATCCAGTTAAGCTCATCAAATAATGCTGCTGAAGAAATTAATGGCCACGAAAAAGGAGTGTGTGGGAGAGCTGCGGCAGTGATAGCAGAGTTCCTGACCGAGCTAGCTGGGGAAGGACGGGGGAGGGGAGGGAGGCAGGAAGAGAGGATCACATGGAGAGATGAGCGCCCCCGCTGGCCGTAAACACTTAGAATAATATTTTCACTGTTTATTTGTGGTAGATAGATTAGACCCTACTGCTGTGTGTTTCAAATCATCTTTTATGCGCTGAAGTGACTGTCTCCAGTACTGTTGAGTCGTTCTGTACTGGTACTTGTACTTTGCTTGAGTATACTACTCAATACTTTAGCTTTAATAACTTCACTTTTCAGATTAAGAGTTTACCCACTGTACAGAGAAAGCTGAGTATAATGGTCTAAATTAGAAACCTTGTGCCACTTCAACCTGTATCCATAAAATTCTGCTTAGATATAGTTAGCATGAATAATAACCTGATCATGTTTAATACCTTTGATACTATTAGAAATGTGTTTTTGCTAATAGGCTGCCTATGCACTTCTGTTCTGTAGGTACATTTTTGAGTGCAAGGCTTTACATTGGATTTGAGTGATGCTACAGTGTAGCACAGCAGCTTTTACCAAAAATATTGAAATACTTATTGCACCACTGCTTGTAGAGTTAGATGCAAATAGATGACATGTAATCCTGTAATAGACACAGTCGTCTTGACAAATGTGACACTTGGAATTTTCATTATTGTGGTACAGAAAGTAAAGAGGTGGTGCAAAGTTCCCACTAGTGAAAGAAAGCGCAGTGGGGTCAATACACTCCCACCCCCTCCCCTCTCCTCTCCTGTCTTCCCAGCTGCCTCTACAACAGTAGTGAGTGGGCGCAGTGGATCCTGCTCTGCTTGCCTGTGGAAACTTTGCCAGGCCTTGGAGCATTCTTGGCTCTTTGTGTGAACCCATGTGTGCAGAATAGGCGCGTTGTCTCGGAATGATTTGGTTATACTGGCCCTGTGGGTAGTCAAGAGTGCAGGATCAGCCTCTCCTTCATACCACCCTCCAGTTGCCCAGTAGTCTAATGTTCAGTCAGTCGATGGGCTGTTTATGGCTTCCAGATTATTCGATAAATCGTTGAGCTCTCGAGCTTATAAATTTTGTGAGTATGTGAGTTTCTGAATTGATCCACACAGGCCAGCATCACAACCGGTGGTTGTTTTGGCTGTTCTCACACACAACACTGTTAAAGTGGAATAACCTATTGAGTCAAGTTGTGCATATGCTAATAACTGATTCCCATAAGTCAACTCAAGTGCAATACAATAGAGCAAGAACACTCATAATTCCTATATTGAGCTACGACTTTCTATACTAGTGTAACCCCCCCACCCCCAAAACCCCTCACAGTGTTAATAAAGCAAGCGAAATAATGCATAATGATTCTCTTTGCATTATAAGCAAACTATTCTTAGTAAATGTATGTCTGATGAATCACATACAGTCCACAAGTAGTCTGTTCTGAGTTTGGGTCACCTTTAACACACGAGGAAAGAGTACATCCTCATAAGAGCAGGCTGCTACTGCTGCCGCTGTCGCCCAGCCAGAGTCGTGTTTAAACAAGCTATAAAAAAGAATTACTACCAAATGCATGCCGAGACTCTGCCCCTTCAGCCCAAGAATTAGGGAGTCCCATATGAAAATGTAAGTGGAATTTTATTTGTGCACATTACGCCACAATTGGTCTCTTTTAATGTCCGTCTCATTCATGCCACGGAGTGATTTATGAGCTCCCAAAGGCAAACAGGCTACCCTAAGGCTCGGGTATTTGCCTGCAACATGCACACGCTGTTAAGAGCCCTGTCATGCTAAGATCCGTGCTGGCGTATTTGCTTTTTTATTCTACAAAGTGATGTTTGAAGGTGAAAATAAAAATAATCTGTATTTTTTGTTTCTGCATAAAATAGCATAGTGTGTAAAAACATTACCACTGTCTTTAAAAAGGTGCTAACTGTCAGATACGCAAGTCATTTTACTACATTGAAAAGTTTCATCAGAAAGGTTTTATATGAAAATGGCCTGCGTTGTCATTCTTTTCGTAACATAACATAAGTCTTAGGTGTGAACTTTTCATCGTAAAAAATCTTAAACTATAAAATTAAATTCCATAATAAAAGTAAAAGTTCAAACGTGTGTGCCTTCTCCACTCAATGCGGGATAAACTATTTATATTCATTGCCAACCTGTTGTAAAATTTGCATAACGTCTCTATCTTTTCATGCCCTACTTCTATTATTTTGCATATTTTGTACATGAATAATTCAAGAAAATATATCCGCTCTCTAAATAGGCAAAGAAACGACTCAAAAGACCAGAAAAAGGTTGTATCAAGTTAATTGTATTCTAACAAAAATATTCAAGACATTGGAAGCTATACAAAAATAAAAAATGACCAGGTTTCATAGGCCTAATATCATATAATTATTCACATACACTCATAATTTCCATTCCAAGAGATCACTTTTCTATGGTAACTACAAGTATGGTAACCACGTTTGAGCAGTAATGTCAGTGATTCAATTTCATCCTTACCTTGAATTAATCGTCAAGTCAAATAACAGAATAAATGTGCCGAATATACAAATAACACTAGAGTTATCGTGGCCTGATATCTATCCCCCACTCCAAAAACCGCTTATTGTTTGATTTCATAGTTAATAGTTCAGATGCTGCAGGTCGATTGTAGTTAGAGACTCTGAGAAAAAGTAGAAACTGTCCGTAGAAATGTCCACGGGGCTGTCCAGAGATTCTGACAAGCTTGGCGAAGCTGCGTCGGAAAGCTGTAGGCAGGAATCCGACGAGAAAGGTTGAAAATCGTGTATAGAAACATCCAGGGCCGGGGGACTGTCGCCATTGTCCGGGCCAGATGCCGAGCCGGGGCCCATTGTTGACATGCAGCCTGGAACAGTGGGTGACGGGTTGGGGAAATGTTTCAGATTTTTGTCATTGCTGTTCAGCGGCGCAGCAGCAAAGCTCATGGACTCTCCATTGTGGAGCTGCTGTGTGGAGCTAAGGGAATTGTTTTGAAAGGAGCAGGTATCCCTTTCCAGCAGGGCCCCGCTCCGCTCATACACGGGCCCCTCTTTCTCCTCGTCGCTGTGGATGCCGTCCTCCGCGCCGGGCCCTTTCCCCTCCACGTTGTGGTTTTCCTTGCTCTGGGTCTGCCGCTTGTGCTTCATGCGCCGGTTTTGGAACCACACTTTGACCTGCCTCTCAGTCAGGTCCAGCAGGGCCGCTATTTCCACCCTCCTCGGTCGGCACAGATACTTGTTGAAATGGAACTCCTTCTCCAGCTCCAGCAGCTGTGTGTTGGTGTATGCTGTCCTCAGCCGACGGGAGCCCCCTCCTCCCCCACTGCTTTCCACCATCTCAGGCGAGCCTGGAAAACATGCACCACGGTAGCGTGAGATTAAAAAGTGGAACACAAGGGTTGCATAGCCTTGCTAACGTTATGGCACCAAGCAGTGGCTCACAACACGCCGCAGCAAAATGGCCGCTTGAGCTACTAGCCTGTACACCCTTTATCAAAAAAATCATTACTGCATAAAGATAGTTGTACACATAAAAATAAGGCACAGCATGAGCGTGAGGCGAACACGGTGCACTGTGAAAGCAGTGAGGTCCAGGCTGGGGTGGGTTACTAATGAATGCTCCAGCTGCCCTCCTCAACGACGGCACTTCATCACTCTTCATTACTGTCACACATCAAAACTATGCTACGGTTAGGGAAATAAATCATCTTACATCATGCATCAAACTTTACCCAAACTTTTTCCTTGCTTCATTCACAGTCACAGCAAAGCAGCAACCAGAAATGTGTCAGCTAAAATGACTGAAGCCTGTTTGTTCTGTTAGAAAAGGCCTGTGGGGTCACGTTTAACAACAGATAGTGAACACTTTTATTTGCAGTAAGCGCTTTTTGAAATCACCCACCTTTCGGAGAGAAACACACGGGTCCATTGGAGATGGTGGTAGCGGTAGAGGTCGGCAGGTGGTTCTTCTTGGAGGCTTTCTTCTCCCGCATCCAGGGGTACTCCGGGGGTAAGGAGGCGGTGGGCAGTTGGTTGCATCCGTCGGGGCTGTGTCTGGGCCGGCCGTGCCGCGGATGGCTGCCCGGATTCAGGCTGGGAATGGTCTGCTCAAAGGGAGGAGGAATCAGTGTCGGGCGTGAAAGCGTCGAGCTCTTGATTGATGAACTTTGAAATGAATCAGCGACAGGGGGGAAAGATGTCAGGCACTCAGCAAGCGACGGCTGACTATTGATAAAACCGCTCTCTCGCTCGAATTCGTAATTCATCTCCGCTCCCTGAGAGCCGAGGAAAGTTTGCACGCGTATTTTTATAAATGCTGCGGCTCAGTGAGGACGAGAAAGAAAAAAACATTTAAAAAATCCCGGTGGTGTTTTTTCTATTTCACTGATTACGGCCGTATGGGGACCGAGCTACTATTAAACCATTGAATTCATGGAGACAAGGTTGAAATTGGACCGAATTGCCTGTCACATGATTACCTCTGCCCAATGACAATTTGGGCTTTAATCAAAAGAAGCTACTGTCTGCCTGATTGATCCAAAAACTCAGCCGAAGAACGCCTCGCTCAGCTGGGGGATGACTGTTTTTATTTACATCGTTGTCCGCTCCGTTTAGCCTCCTCTCGCCTTTCCAGTCCAGTCCACTAAGCTACAAAATGTGTTTTTTAAGAATGGCTGACGCTCACTATTACAGGCAAGGAGCCCAGCCTAGGGTGCGCGGATTCGTGCACTCCTCTTTCTCGTATTGTTTGAGGATGTCAGTCGAGAACGCCCCCACCACACACACACACACACACACACACACACACACACACACACACACAGAGGCAACACATTTCACGCCAGTAGCTATTCATTTAGGCAAGAGTCAGGCTTCAGAGGTGAAGAAAAACACGCTCCAAAAACTGATATTGTGACATCTCGACAGTAACAAAGTCCAACAATCCACTGTTTTCAGTGGACTCCAAGAAGAGAGGATTGTTTAAGGATACATAATAATAAAATATGTAATGCATCCACTGACATGTTGCAATAAAACGCCCATTCTTTACGGTAATACTGACAGATTTGACACGTACTGACAATTTCATCCTATAATAGCGATTTAACATTTACAACTGTATTGCAGAAAAGTTGTAAACGCACACAGGCATGCATGCATGCGCACTTGTAAACACTGAGGTTTTATTATAAGCTATTTCTGCTGACCCTATCATAGCATGTAGGCTTTTGTTTATTTCACAAAAGGTCGATTTTAAAACGAGGTCATGTGCGCCCATGTTCTTACACACACCTATGAACAATGGCTTAAACACACAAGCAGTCCTTCTTTTGTGATTGCTAACAGTCAAATTGTTCGATAACCAAAGGCTGTCAGGATTATTACATTATTTAAAACATTATTCTAATATTTAGAATGATTTTATTTTTCATGTTAAAAGTGGAAAACCCCAAGACAAGAGCAGGGTTTACAGGGGTACAGCAGCTACAGTGCTGAGACAGGAAATGTGCTGTATGTTCATTATCAGTTCTACCTGAAAATGCAGTGAAGCAAACACCGCTGTTACAACAAGCCCATTATTATTATTATGTGCACGCATATGTTATTGCATTGCTCTTCTCTGCAGCGTTTTGTTTTGTAGCTCCTCCAAAATGCTCCGTGAAATGCCACATTTGGGATGTTTTTCGTCAACCAGTACATGTTGTATTTTCATTAAAAATGGCTTAGTGAGTAAGAGAGAGGAAGAGGAGAAGTGGTAGGCCTCTCTCAGTTTGTTGCTTATATACCAAACAAAGAGTCCTGGAAGCCTGTGCGCGATCAATCTTACTCGCCAAAAGGTCTGACAGCTCGGTGCCCTCGCAACACATTTAAGGCTTCTAACTCTCCCCCGGATCAAATGCAGCCAGGAAGCGGCGAGAAACACTGGCCACTCAGATTAGAACCAGTTTCTGCTCGCAGTTATAACCGGGCTGTCGCTGGTGGGATTTTAAAAAGAAAAATAAGAATCTAGCTTCAAAATATGCGACCTTTTTTTTTTCTCAGAGGAGGTGGTAATGCGCCAGCGGTGAGTAAGGTTCCCCACCTGGCTTTTATCTCTGAATTGATACCAGGACGTGTATTTTGTCGTTTAGGTGGATATTCAGACTTGTAAACGAAAAGGACTGTGTGGTGGAGGACAGAGTTGCTAGGGGAAAAGATGGATGACTTTTTTTTTCGGAATTACGCACAGGCTTTGTGTGTAAGGAGAGGAGTGGGTGGGCAGCATTTAGTGGAGCCCGGCCTGTCCTACACACTTGTCTTTTACAGCAGGATTGATTTAGGAGCACTTTCCCACGGAGAGAAATGTAATGAAAGAAATGCAAATCCAATGTTTAAGTTAAAACGCTATTTATGTGTTATCTGTGTATGACGCATATGGATCAAATCAGTCTTTCTGTGCATGCGTGTACATGTGTGCGACCGTTTTTCTGTGTGTGTGTGTGTGTGTGTTGGATGCAGAAATACTAAGTGCATCAGCTTTTTTTTTTTTCTTTGACAGACCATGGCTCATTTGTTCTAGGTTTTCCTGCTAACCATATGTCAGGGCTAGTAATGTTCATGCCCTCCTGTATCAGTCAGACTGGGCTGAAAAAAATCTGTTGGTGCAAAAATAAGACTGTCAAAGATTAAGATAATCATAGAGACTGACCATGGCACAAAAGAATTTGACAAGAAAGCTAGAAAATTATTTAACTAGAGAAAAAAATGGTTTCCTGAGCATTTATATTTTAGAAAGTAACAACAAATAACTTTAGCTCCATGTGTGTCTGGATTATATTGTGAAATTACATGAACATAAATAAATTGCAAACAACGAAAAAAAAAAATGTAAATAATGTAAGATCATTTGTAGTCCCTTCATTTTAGGAGAATAGACACAAAGGGATACGTGGCCTCTCTTTCAGCTTTCAACAGATAATTTCCTTTCCTGAAACTACCATTATAACCGAGGTCCTGCATATTGAACTGGCTTTACGATGGCATCTGCAAATTTGCAGAATAATGAGCCAAATAAAGCCCCGTTATGATTCGAGTTCAGCATGTGTTCTGTCTGACCGGATTTGACTGACTGAACATTTCAGGGAATTATTTTTCCAACGATTTCTCATTTAGCTTGTTGTTTCCTCGCAGAGTCTCCAGAAGGGGCCGACTGACATTTTTATTATTATGGATGTGCCCACGCAGATGAGAGGAGGGGAAGAGGCCACCCGAGAGTTTTCTTCACGTGGAATCAAGAGGAGGGAGAAGGGGAGAAAATCAAGTAGCTTTACTCAGTATCTGACTTCATCTGCTGCCATTTACTTTAATGTTACTGAATATTAAATACCGCTAATGATTCGTTTTATTTTATATGCATAAATATAGATTAACCAGTTATCACAAACCGATTCATATTAAAACATTTGACTTGTTATTTTGCCAGGCTTCTCGTATACTGCCAGTTTTCTAAAACTGCAATTTAGCTTTAATGCTGACATAAAATATATATCATTAAAAGTATGTAGTAATATTTAGAAACTGTCTTGAATTGAATTATCTGATCATGTTAAATGTTTTTGCTGCGTCTAAATTAAAACGGGAGGATCTGTTATATTTCAATTATTTTATTTATTTCTTCGAACTGGAGCAGCATGGAATGTATGACATGGGGCAAGGGGGGGGAGGGGGGTCTGTTTCTCTTTCCTTCAATTAAAAAAAACTTTCTTTCTTTCAATTAAAAAAAACATTGCTAACCTGTGTCTTTCTTTCCAACCTTATTGCATGACTCACTGATTTTACCTTCGCTGAGATAATAAAACTAATAAAACACCTCCTCGAAGAAGATAAGAATGAAAACAAGGCTTAGACGTGCACCACGGCGTGCTGCTGCTGCACACTGCATGTATGGGCTGGATCCAGGGCCGAGACGCTAATTCTCCACCAACCTTCTCCCCCACACGAAGATCTCGGGAGTGTCAAACAATACCAAAGGACTCTAATCTGTACACCAACTAAAATAAATAACACTGAAGAAGTCCAATAGAACAAAACACAAGCAAGGGGAGGTTGCGTGTATGCTCATGGCCCTTGTTTTTTGAAAACGTAACTCCCTCAATCCGTTCTCATGGCTCCTGAAGGATCCTTTCACAAGTGCAACAAAATGCAAAACACAATTCTTCAGCTGCGGATAAATAAAACACCGACTAATTCACATTAAAAAGAATAACATATGTTCATAATACCCTGTTTGCAATTTTAAAACAAGATTTTAGAAACGATTAAATATGGCAATGCATACTGTACCCCCCTCCCTCCCACTCTAGACATCCTACAGCCCAGATAAAGGTCTTTGTGAGACAATGAGACGAGCAAATAGAGAAGAAATCAAGCAAATTGTGATTATTTATCCTAAACTACTACACACATCAGACTATAAAAACAGAAGGAAAAGCAGAGAGAAGATGGAAGCCGTGGGAAGGCGCAGAAACAAAGCAGTAAAGTGTCTGGAGGTGGATAAGACAATGGGCGGAGTGATCCGGGCAGCGCCACCGCTACAGATGCGTCAGTTTGGGCGCTTCCTGGATTCTTCCCTGAGAGTAGTGCGGCGTTAGGTCTGTGTACGTCGGTGTCGGATCACACACTCCGTGATGCTGACTGTTACCCATTGTGATTGCTCCATTGTAGTCCATGTTTGCGGACGGTGGGTGCGGGAGGTGGGTCAGACCGAAAACAGAGGCCCCAGAATTGGGCACTGAGTCGATGTAACCTCCGCTGACATAAACGGGGCTGCCTTGCATGTGAGTCCCGTAGTTGCCATTGCCTTGGAGAGGATGCGCGTCATACTCGGGCGTGGCCGAGTCTGTGCCGGGATACCTCTTCTGGGAAGGCGGGCAGTTGCTGAGGGAGCTGTTCAAAGGAGGGGGATAAGACGTGGCCATACCGTATGCGGTTTGATGAGGTTTACTGTAAGATGTCGGGGAGTGGGATTCATAAGGTACACTGTTTACAAGAGAATGCATAGAGTTGAGGTATCCTCCACCACCACTGGAAGCCGGGCCCACAGGACTCCGAGGGGACTGTCCGCCAGGGGAAGGCATCATCCCGACACCTTTCTGATCCTTCTTGTATTTCATCCTGCGGTTCTGGAACCAGATTTTGATCTGTCTCTCGGTGAGGTTGAGCAGATTGGCCATCTCTACCCTCCGGGGTCTGCAGAGGTACCGGTTAAAATGGAACTCCTTCTCTAACTCCACAAGCTGTGCACTGGTGTAAGCTGTCCGGGCCCTCTTCGATGCTGCTGACCCCGGAGGACTCTTGTCTCCGGGACAACTCTCCACTGTCAGGGAGGAGGAGAGTAGGATGTCAGTCAGTAATCCATTACAGACACACACAGAGGGGTGCAGAGGCAGAGACAGGAGAGTGAGAGTGAAAGCAGAACCGTGACACGCACACAGCTGATAACAGAACTCCCCACCACCAAGAGAGGGTGGGGAACAGTTTACTAGAATAAATATGGCCTGCTCCACTACTTAAACAGAGGTTTTATCATCATCCCTTTCCCCCTCCTCCCTCTTAATGTGCACGTATGTATGTGCTCGCTTGTCTGTGCATGCATCTCAACATACTGATAAATCAGCTCCCTACTGCAAAGCACGAGGGTTATCATCAGGGCTCTATAAGGCAATTAACAATCAACTCTGGGCCTGTGTGCTAAGTACATAGCTGCAAAGCAAAAATTGGTAACTATAGGTCAATAACTATGGAACCAGGTAACGTCAGATTTCCCGCTAAAACATTTTGACCCTCATCTTCCCGCCCGTAGCACACGAGTAGTGCAGACACAAGCGTTATATATTCCTCTGGATGTGTAAAGCAACTCGTCTTGCCCTCACTGCTAAGCCCCCCTTCTAAGAGGTTGGGTCTTGGCTGCAGAATAGAAACGTGTTGGTCTACTTACCACTGTGACAGGCGACCAACAGTCAATAAATTTCACTACCTCTCGCCCAAACCTGGAGTAAAAGGAATGCAGCATGACAGAACCTGACCCATTACGTTATTACAGAGATGAAACAGAAGTTAACACGTGGAGTGGGAGCAAGTATGCAGGGCAGTCATGTGATAAGGATAATTTGTGCACTCATCTTTTTTTAAAAGGCGTCATTTTAAAAGAAACCCATTTGGGAAAACGTTATGTCTGGACTGTTACTGCGTAACAAGGTTTTTTCATAGATGTTAACAACTCAATGTGTTGATACAACTAACGAAAACACCGCCTCTAAACAGAAGTCATAAAAATGTAATAAAAGGCCACTTTGCTTAGCATTTCACCTTTTACAAAACCGCCCATCCATCTGAGTTACACAAGTTGAGTTGAGCCAATGTAAAAGCCAAAGTCCCCATCTTGATCCATCACTTTTTCCCTGACTTACACATGTGCGTAAAACGTATCTAAAAGACTGAACTTACACCTTCCCAAACATGAATTAAAATGCAGCCACACAGCTGTGCATTTTCATTGCATCTATGCAAATAAACATCACCAAACAAATACCCCCCTAACTCCGCCCCACCAAGCTTCCCTCTAATCAAAACAGCAGGACACAGAGAAACAACTGTTGTGCGTGTTTGTTGTCTCTTCGGGAACATTATGGGATCAGTGGAGATGTGTGTTTACAGTAGGAACAGGTCAGCTGTAGGGCACAGGGACAATGAATAAAGGAAGCACATGATTCTTCTTAAGTCTACAACCTTAAAGTATACACCGCTGATAGTGTTTGGACCATCCTTTGGACAATATTCAGTAAGATTTGACTCCCTTTATCAACATTTCCTTATAGTGTGACTGTGTCAGGGGTGTTGATTACACTCTGTGGTTATTTTTGTCTTGGCTGCAGTTCTTGGAAAAACTCCAGGAACCCTGCAGAGGGAGCAAATTATATAAATATAATGCAATATAATACCACAAACCACTGACCCACAATGCTAGAGTAAAACGAACACCTCAGTGGCACTGGCACAGAGAAAAAAATAACCTTTCCAGGAAGGGTACTGTTGCGGTTTGTCCCCCTACCTCTTGACCTCTTACCAATCACCCACTCCTCCTAATATTGTGTTCTCTCTCAACAAATATATGCACCTTTGTGGTCAGAGGCTATGTGTGTGTGTGTGTGTCAACAGCAGTGTTTAGGTTGTGAGTACCTGAACTGGAGCTACTGGTGGGTTTCTGCTTGGTGGTCTGGCGGGATTCCTTCATCCAGGGGAAGATCTGTTTGTTGCGAGCAGTGGAGGTCGGAGAGCCGTTCTTGGCACTGGGCTGGCTGGGCCCGTTGTTTGTGTTTTGGCTGATAGCACCGGGGGATTGTGGGGGAGGAGGTGGGCCTGAAACCGGCACCTGCGGTTGATTGCTTTCGGGATGACCCTTGGACTGCGCCGCCTGAATGGCTGCGGTCCCGTCGCAGTTCTCCGCCATCTCCCCCGGCTTCTGAAGGGCCACGGAGCCAGCAGGAGACTGTAGGGAGCAGGCAGGTCGATGGTATTCACTTTCCACATGAGAAGCCCGGGGATATTGAACCTGATTGGCATCATAACTGAAGCCATTTGCGCTTTGATATGGGTAGCCACTGTAAATTGCGGAGCTGTCGTAGTAGGTTGCCTTTTGCATCTCGCCGTTTCCCAATATTTATTTCAGAAACTGACAGGGTCTTGACACCCTTGTAGAATAACATTGGCACCCTGTGATCACGTGACGCCTCTCCGCCAATGGCCTCCTCGGGTGAACCTAGGGTTACAAGAAGCACTGTGAGGAGAAGAAATGGTGGCGATCCATCTTACTTCTCAATACAGGCCTGACACTGGAGACTATGGAGACAAGTAGGGCCAGCACTTCTGTAGACTATTACCGTTTACCTTATGGCTTACACGGGGCACAAAGGCACGCACTAACCTTGCATTACCATCTGTGCCAAACAACATCTAAAAAAAAAAACCTTTTCGAAAGCATTTCAGATTGCCAAATCACTTTTAGGACCTAACAAGAAACAACATGGCGTTTTAAACCTTTGAGCCTATTAACAGCCAAGGTGAATATAGAATTACAGATCATCTTATGGGGGAGGAAAAAGGCGCTAGGTTAAACAGGTACTGTTGCAGGAAAGGCCTGGGTTACCACACAGGAAAATAATGTCTGTTAAAGTGTTATTCTACCAACAGTGTATCTTATTTCCAGTGTAGCAGGTGAAAACAATCCATCTGGTGTATAAGGTGTAACCCATTTTTATTTTTCATATTGCATAAACATTTTTCTTTAGTAACAGGGCAGACCTCAATGCGCCGTGCTTCCCATGCAACCTGACGCAAAGCGTTAAACAACGGCATTCTCCTCTCTTCTCTTTCTTTCCATGCTGCAAGACAAATGGAGAAGCCACAAGGAAACCTGAAAAACCGGGTAGGCATCCATGCAGCACCCTGACCACTGCATGAACTTTTCCTCGCAGGCCCATAATAATGGCTGTTGGTGCTGTCTGCGCAACGGCCCGTGGCGGTGATATATAGGGGTCAGTGGTCCGGGACGACCTGCACGGAATGAGCGGACCCGGTGACCAGGCCCGGTGCTCAGACGGACAGAAAGCAGGAGAAGACACAGCTAGAGCCTGCTGCTAAAACACCATAATTCATGCAGGTAACCGTGGCGATCTGCCCCTAAAAGATTATTGAGGAAACTATAAACTATAAACTATAACAGATTCAGATCTGCAGGTCACTGTGGGCACGTGTTTTACAATGTGGAATATTTAATGTGATGTGGACTGTAATGTGATTTTGAACCATTTCCAAATAATAATAATAATAATAAGAAGAAGAATCAGTAATTTTCAAAACAAAATTAAACCCGCCTTACTCGTTTACTACTTGGTTCTGAATTCATGCACTTCCTTTGTGTGCACTAGCATTAAGCATTGCCCATCGCCTTTGTTATAGAAGCATATAATGTGAAAACATTTAATTCATTAGTTGCAACCATAATTTCACGTTTTACCTCCTGACACCAATAGGCCCTGGTGTATTGTCTGATCAACAATAATGATGCCGCAGCAAAAACATTTCACAGTTCATAGGTATACACTACTGAAGTCCAGGAGCAGTCATATACTTGGAATATCTATTCATTAATTGACCGCAAAGGAGTGAGAAAAATGTGGAACAACTCCAGGTTTGTGCAGCCGTGCATAACATGAAGCAAATCTGAATAAAATGCGCCCCGGGCTTGCCCTAAGCACAGCTAAACCTCAAACTGAGAGAAGATGTCTTCAGTGTGTCTGTACTCAGGATGACCTGGAAAAGATTTCAGAAAGCTATGTGGTGCATATCTCCAGGAGAGCCATTGCTACAGTCATAAATGGCAGTGAAAGATAGACAAAAGACAGACTTGAGCTCTCTGCGCAGCCCTCTGCTCCATGTTAGAGAAATCTGGCTGCCTGACTGTGTGTGTGAACTCTTCCTGAACCGAGATCTAAGTCAAACGGTGATAAATCACCGTACGACACACAAACTCCGCCATTTACAACCGAGGGAGTCTAATTCTGGCCTGCTTACCTTATCCTCTGACGACGAATGCAGAGCACCGAGCAATATTTTCTCATTCAGCGACGAAATCGATCAAAGCAGTAATCCAGAGAAAAGTTTAAAGGCAGGGTGAAGCGGCAGCAGTAGCAGACTGCGCCCTGCCATACACCAGGCATTAGCAGCCACAACAAAAAAGGGAAGAGCCGAAAGAACCCCCTTTCCTTTTTTTCCTGTTCTTTTTCCCCTACTCGACGTGTATGGGTAAACCAAGATTACGAAAGCAGGCGTGAGCGCTCGGGTCAGCGAGATAAGAGTTATCTAGCCCCAAGATCGAATTTATCGTCATGCTATGGAGCAATGACCAGGGCTTCATAGCAATATTAAACACAGCCAAAGCTAAGCTGGGCTATGTGATCCTTCACCGGGATCATGCAGACACCAGTGAACTCCCCGAACCAGAGCGTCACTATAGACAAGAAAAATTATGCAAATGAAGTAGCGCCTTGGAAAGCCAGTTCAAATCAAGCGACTGCCTCTCCTCCTCCTCCCCCAGCCAAATGAGATAGTGTGTATAGAAACAACAATACGGTACAATTCGCTCCTAAAGTGTTGAAATCTAATATTATTTACTCCACATCCTGCAGTGGAATCATGAGCCCAGTGGATGAAATTGTGGAGAGGTGAGAATACAAAGGAATATTGGGTCGCTGACCATGCTGCTTTCCCATTTCCATAGGACATAAAGGGCTTCTATCCGCTGCTTAATCATTAACCTGCATTTTGTTAGCTGCACGTTTTCAATTCAGCGTCTGCCTGAATGGCTTCTATTTGTATTTTTAGTATTAGAAAGCAACTTCAGATCAAAGCCGTTTTCCGTGTACGTCAAGTGAAAACCACACCAGGAGGAGGCTGTGAAAAATGCCATGAAGTTTCATCACCAAAGGCAAAGCGGAGGACATGCAGCGAGGAGCAGAGGGAGAGGACAGCCGGCGGCAGGGGGAATCCCTCTGCATGGCAGCTCTGTGCACAGCCATACAGGAGGAAGAACGTCTGGAAAAGCTTCTCAGAGCTGCAGCTTCTTCGCTGGTTTCAGTCTCTGGGACACAATTCAATGATTACAAGAGGTAAAATACAGAAGCGGCGTGGGAGAGTGAGTGGGACAAAAATTCACGCGTGAGGATTTTTTTTTTTAGCCAACTCGGCTTTTTCTCTTACAAACGTGAAGTGCCACATTGTGTAATTATTTACTTCTTTGTCTTTTACTGAAATGCTGAGTCGTTTCCTTTTTTATAATGTGGCCCTGAGGAGAGTTAAAAGTGGCGTTGGCCGAGCATAATAAGACTTCAACGAAAAAGAAATGTTGACGAAATGAAAAACAATTTTTTTTAAAACGCCAGTGCAATAAACTATAGCAGCTGCAAGCAGATGGCTTTCACAGAAAGTCGTTTCTGAATGGAGTAAGGCACCGCTCCAAGAAGTGCGATTCCCCTCACCACTTTTATGGTGACAAATTACTACACAAAGACAAGTGGAAGAGAAGGAATTATGGCTTTCAGGATGGTCATAGTGCTGCTACAAGGAAACGCACAAGCCACGAGCTGCTTTTCTCTCCCTGCCAGTGCGTTGGTGAGCGTGAGTGCTACTTATTAAAAACTGAGTAAGGATATCACCATCAAGCATTCATAACACAAATCAATAAAGATATATAGACTTACCTAAGGCAGTTCAAGGTGTCTCGGAGACCGTGCGATGGCCTGAACTTACTGGGCTGGATTTCTACAATGAGGAGGGGAAAATGCTCAAATGAATAAACAACGATACATTTTTAAAAAAGACATTATATTTAAATAGTGTATTATTAATATAATACCGCCTTTTAATGTGCTCTGTGAAATTTATTTCCAAATAGATAATAGATAATAAAATGATTGTTCTGCCTTATTGTTTGAGTCCTGTGTTTAAATAAGCGTTTGTCGAATAGCGTAACACAAATCGGTTCCAATTCAATGCAAGTATTTTAAAAACAATCCTTTGGGTCAATATCTGGATCCAACAGCAGGCTTTGCGTTTAAGTATTAACATTTTTACAGCTTTGAGGAACAATAAAATCTAGATTGCTTTTAGGATTTTACAGCCAAATGTCCCTCAAAATAAATTCATAACCTTTGACTATGCTAGGACAAAAACAACATCACAACCAAAGAAATATTTCTGATAACATAAAAATGGGCCTATGCCAATAACGTGTTTTGTTGTTTCCCTGCTGGCCGCTAAGCATTTTCTCCACAAACGGATCGAATAGTCATTAGCTGTGGCGCACCATCTTCCCCAGGTCCCCGCGCCCATAAATCAAGCAGGAGCGCCGTGACCTCGGCGCGGCCGCGCGGTCCTGGATGGCATTCCGTCTTCCATTATATTCTCGTTTCCCTGGCGGAGCGACAC